CTCAGCCTCCCAAAGGCGCGGGATTACAGGCTGAGCCACCGAGCCCGGCTACAAAGTTTAACATTGAACACTTGACAAAGAAAAATATTGAAAGGACGCCATGCACAGTGGTGCAAGCCTGTAATCTCAGTGCTTTGGGAAACCGAGGTTAGAGGACCACTTGAACTTGAGAACAAAAGTTCGAGACCAGCCTGGGCAACATAGTGTGACTCCATTAAATTAAAAAAAATTTTAAAAGAAAAAATATTTAAATGGTCCAGATCCATTTACGAAGATGAATAAAGAGTGAGTTTGGAGCAGATAACCAAAAGTTGAATAACCAGTGCATGATAAAATGTATTTATTCATTTTTCTGCTGGTATACATTTGGAATTTTTTTTTTTTTATTTTGCTACTGTGAAATGTCTCCTAATGCAGATATTCAAGAGATTCTCTTTCCTGACAATATCTACTTATAAGTGAATTTTCTGGGTTGTAAAGTTTGTGCACCTTCAATTGTATTAAGTAGTGCCAAACTATTGTTAACTTGTTTTATTTATTTATATTTTCACTGGCAAAGAAATCATGTAATATAAAATAATAGAAATAAGAAAAGATTCTGGCATGTTAGAGAAATACAAGTAACTAACTCAGTGTTACTAGTGTTAATAGGAGTTTCTTGGAAGAATGATTCATACATTGAGCTTCAGATACAGCATATAAGGCTTAGGAAGACACCCAATATGTAACTATTTCCCTGCAGTTTATAAAAAGTCACGTGGTAAGGTTAAGTAGAGTAGAATTATGGTTAGATTTGCATTTTAGAAAGTATTCTGCCTAAGCCTAGAGGGCTTGGAAGAGATCAGAACCTAAACCTGTTCTATGGCAACAGCTGTGTCATGAGGACTTTACCTTCAGAAAAGATGACATCTTTTTCATCCTCCAGATTTCAATTTAGGTTTTTCATTTCTTCTGGAAAGACTTCCAGGATGACTGCCCTTTCCCTTGTATTTCCTATCAGATCATAAGCTCCTTAGGGACTTAATCTTGCTATTTTTGTCTCCAACTTCTACCAGTATGCAAAGTCCATAGAAGACACTCCTTACTCCTTTTGTGAATTATCAGAGTAGCATGCATATGGGACAGTGCCTGGGAAATCATGGGCTTCGAAAAGATGACTGCACTCTGCAATGCCTTTGCAATGAGGTTTGAGCATGCTAACAGACTTTTTGTGATGTCATATATGGAGGATTGGACAATCTTGTAGGTGTGGGACAAGGGGAACATTATTATCCTAAAAGATGGACAGAAGCCTATACAGTACTTTGTGAACTTTCAATCAATTCTGCAAGCATGCAATAAGCAGCCTCCACAAACATTTTATGTAATTCTATGTCTTAAGAACAGACTTTGACAACATATTTAAAGTAACTGTCATTCTCAAGAGGTATGATCATAATAGTCAGGAGCACAGTTTTGAGAGACAAACTGCCTGGGTTCAAATCCTGTTTCTCCCACTTTGAATACAACTGTGGGAAATTATTATAGCTCTCTGTTCTTAAGTTTCTTACCTCTAAAATGGGCAAAAATTGTATCTATCTCATAGGATTGCTGTTAGAAATAAATTAGAACATGTAAAGCATCTAGAACAGCTTTTAGTATATAATTACTTATCAATAAATGTTTGATAATTATCATTTGAATTACAGAGCATTTCTTTGTTTCCTAATGAAATTTCACCTTTTCTCTTTCCTCTTCTGCACAATGTCACAGTTGAATTAGATGTTAACTGTTGTAGTGTTCAGCTCTAAAATTCTGAACTATTGTTTATTTGTTTATATGCATTTCATAAGTTGCTTTTATTTCTGCCTGTAAGATGTTGTAAGATGTATTTTACTAAATTGTAGCTACATAGTTGTTGTTGAGTGGCATTAATAAAAGATGTATATTAACAAACTTCATGCAAAATAAATATACCAAATAAATTTTACATTGATTTGGATATAAATCATGTTGTAATGTCCTGAAAAGGGTGAAGATATTATTTACAATTTAGACAGCATTTTCATAATTTCAGTAAAAAATAAAAGATTAATAAAAAGGCAAACATGGGTTCATGACCAGTCCAGGCAACTTGGTGAGCCCTCGTCTCTACAATAAATCAAAAAATTTGCCGGGTGTGGTAGCATGTGCCTGTAGTTCCGGCTATTTGGAAGGCTAAGGTGAAAAGATTGCTGGAACCTAGCAGGTTGACGCTGGGGTGACTGTGAGTGTGCCACTGCACTCTAGCCTGGGCAACAGAGTGAGACTCCAACTTAAAAAAAAAA